GAGCGTTACCTCAGTGATCCCACAACGACACAGGATGCTTTTACTGCCATGGCTTGGACTCACCGTTCTCTTCCAGGCCAAGGTCAATGTGAATCAATTATGATGACAGACCATTGATCATCTGAGTGCTCCATCTTCACAATGGTGATAGAGCGGCTTTAAGACTTTCTCAGTGCCTCATTAATGTTTAATTCGGTTCTTATTGATCTGTTTATAATAAAGAGGCCTTGGTAAATGCCTTTTGTCATCATTGTGCTTTTCATGCCGAAGGGTAAAGTTTGGTTTGTGGACGCTTCACCTTGGGCTGCTTTTACAACAACATGGAAATCCTTTTATTAAAGAAAAAAACAAAACAAAAGAATAGCCGACTTGGTTATTTCTCTGCCAAGGAGAGAGCCAGTGTACAGGTTGGGGCTTAGAGTTGTTTGTGTATTTGTTTCCTAACAAGAGAAATCCACCCTGCCAAATTTCACGAAACTTAGTGGTGAATTAGAAGCGGTGTTACATTTTGCTGCAGAGCTGCATCAATGCAAATTTGCATTGATTTGCAATCAGCAAACGTCCGTCTGGTTGTAATTATCAATGCATGTTGTAGTTTCTCTCCATTTCTACTTTTTAGACAATTTTTGACACTGCTCTGAATTAACCAGTAAAATTAATCTTGTATAGAGCGATAGGGTTGTTTCATATTTCATCTATTTTGTCAAACTTATGTACTTATGTAATCCTAAGATATTTATAACCTGCTGATTTACAACTTTTTTTCAACACTGAACTCAGATTGATGACCCCTGACGAGAGGAAAGGGTCTTGATTAACTGATACATCATCCATGTCAGAACTGATGGTGTATTGAGCCCAGTGATGCTGATGTATGACATAATAATTTGGGTCTTTTTCTTCTCTCCTAGGTACAACCAGACAGCCCAGAGAGGGGGAAATCTCAGGGGTAGACTACAACTTTGTCTCTATTGAGGAGTTTTTCTCTTTGGACGAATCAGGAGCGCTGCTCGAGAGTGGAAAGTTCAAAGGTAAACACTTCAGCTAACTGCCTGTGCATTCACAGACTGCAAGATGGTGTTTCATTATGCAGGGTACATTACATTCTGGTTAAAAAGTGAGAGATGAAAAGCTTTCTTTACAGCATCTCTGGATTCTGATCGGACAACCCAACATACATCAGACAATGAGAAATAACCCCTTGATGAACACAATTTACATATAGATATCGATATACATATATAAATAGCATAAATTGGTGTTTATGTGTCAGAGGATTGCTGGTTAGATTATTATTCCTGAAAAGATAAAATTTCTACTTTTCACTTTTGAATGAACTTAAAAATTTAAAGCAAAGTCCAACCAGATTCAGCTCAGAAAGCAGCGGTGTGTTGTTATTGTTACCCTAGAGGTTTTGTCCTTTTTTTAGCCTTTTAAGGTTAGCCTTCTTAGACTGAGATTTCCATCAGCAATGGGGGACATTTAAAAGTTGATGTGTACAGTAAACCAACGCACATGGATCAGTATTTAACGTTTGACCGTCATTATCCACTGGAGCAAAAACTAGGTGTGATTAGGACACTTCAACACACAGCAAACACCATCCCCACAGAAAAAATGGCCAGAGAAGCAGAAGAACATCATATCAAGAAGGCCCTCTGTAAGTGTGGTTATCCCAGGTGGACTTTTGTCAAAGCCCCAGGTGATCTAAGAGAGAAGATCAACTGCTGCCTAAGCGAAAACCCTTAGTGATGCTTTATGTGTCTGGAGCATCGGGACATGCTCATTTTCTCTAAACACTGCATCTCTGTGGCTTTCAGACCCCAAAAAACACTGGGCCAAAAATTGGTCCACTCCAAGAGCCCGGTCCCCCAGCACAAAGAGAGTAATATAGTGTATGCTTGTTCCCTCCTGGAGAACACGGCGGGTCTGGGCCCAGCGCTGGAAAAATAGCTGCAGGGCAGGATGGCTGCTGTGTTTGCTTGGGATTACTCCTCACCCCCTACCCACCCCAGTTGCTTGTCACGTGCTTCATAATATTGTGCTGTGGACATTTATGTGCTTCTGTGCAGAGGAGTTTTTCTGTATTATCCTTTTGTGTTACACATTTCGATGGTTTTCTCCCCCTTGCTACCTAGCCTGACCTGTAGGTACACTGAGGGCGATCATGGCTCAAGAGTTGGCAGTTCGTCTTGCAATCGGAAGGTTGCTGGTTCGAGCCCCGGCTTGGACAGTCTCGGTCGTTGTGTCCTTGGGCAAGACAAAACGGTCAGAGGGCCCAGTGGTGCCACAATATGGCAGCCTCGCTTCTGTCAGTCTGCCCCAGGGCAGCTGTGGCTACAACTGTAGCTTGCCTCCACCAGTGTGTGAATGTGAGAGTGAATGAATAGTGGAATTGTAAAGCGCTTTGAGGGTCTCGAGAAGCGCTATATAAATGCAATCTGTTATTATTATTATTATTATTACCTATCTTCTGATCATTGGTCAATGGTCATGACAATCTCCATATAAATGATCCAGAAACTGACCTCACAGCCCATTGTTTGCCAGTGATGCTAGTTTCAGTCATTGTGCAAATGTACTGTTTATAAGGTTGCTAAGACTGAAGAAGTCAACTGGATGAATGACGAAATGTTTCACCCACTGAAAACTTTACGTCCAGATTAACAGAATCAACTTTTTGGGACATGGTATACATTCACTGGCTGCTTTCTTGTATACACCTGTTCAACTGCTCATTGATGCAAATGTCTAATCAGCCAATTAGACTGCAGCAACACTTCCAGTGCATTTAGTCATGTAGACATAATCAAGATGACCTGCTGAATTTCAAACTGAGCATCAGAATGGGGGAGAAAGGGGATTTTTGTGACTTTGAACGTGGCATGGTTGTTGATGGCAGACACACCAGTCTGCTCAAAAGCTGCTGATCAGCTGGGATTTTCCCATATGTCCTTCTCTAGGGTTTACAGAGAGTGGTCTGAAAAACAGAAAATATCCAGTGAATGGCAGTTCTCTGGGGCAAAATGCCTTGATGAGGAGAAACAGTTTCAGCTGACTGCTGACTATTTCCATCCCTTTACAACTACAGTGTACTCATCTTCTGATGGCTACTTCCAGCTTGATAACACCATGTTACAAAGCTCCCATCATCTCAAACTGGTTTTTGGCCTCAACAGTCACCAGATCTCAGTCCAGTAGAGCAACTGTGGGATGTGGTGGAGTGGGATATCGTGGATGTGCAGCCAGTAAATCTGCAGGAACTGTGGGATACTATAATGCCAATATGGACCTAAATTGCTCCTTAAATCTATGATATGAAGAATTAAAGTGATTCCTGTACAGGGGTCTTTGCTCAGTCATTTTGTAAGGGTGAATGACGAATACATGTACAGATTCACGCATGTTTCATCTGAGCCTTCGTCTGGAAAAGGTCCCTCTCCTTTGGAAGACTTTCTGGTGTGGGTCCAGTGCCAAAAACCGTGCACCCCAGGAAGCCTAATCATTTTCAGACCTGTGTTGTTAACTTCCTGCCTGATGTAGACCCTGGAAAGGATCTTCCTCACCCACCTGGTGAGCACAATACTTGACCCTCTACAGTTTGCCTACTGTCCTGGGTGGTGAAGGTCATCACTGACTTTGTCATCTGGTGTGAATTCAACCACCTGCATATCAACACCAGTAAGATGAAGGAGATGGTAGTTGTGTTCCAGAGAAAACCAACTCCTGGGTGTTCACCTTAACAGTAAACTGGACTGGTCAGAAAACACTCATGCTCTACACAAGAAGGACCAAAGTCGGCTCCATCTGCCCGGCAGGCTGAGTACTTTGGGGTGTGCAGGTCTTTACTGAGGACCTTTTATGACACAGTGATGGTCTCTGCAATCTTTTATGCAGTAGTCTGCCGGGGAGATGGCAGCATGGAAAGGGGCCGGAGCCAACTAAATAGACAGGTGAAGAGGGCCAGCCCTGTCCTGGCCAGTCCACTCGACTTTATAGAGGAGGTGGGTGAGTGGAGGATGCTATCCAAGCTAACGTCCATTATGGACAATACCTCATATCCCCTGAGCAGCTTGTTTAGCTGTTCCAACCATGTTGTAGGACGGAGCACTCATCCCGACAGTAGTCAGGCTGGGCAAAACACACGTACAATAGATACCTGCTAAAATATATGTGTAGGTATAATCACTCCCACTGCTCTTTGTGTGCAAATGAAAAAATCTCACAGTGTATTTTACTGTATTTACCAACCACTTATAAATAGTACAAATTACCCTTGTATATTTTTTTTACTTGTTTATTTTGTACAATATTTTTTCTTATTTATTTCTTATTTATTTTTCTAAAATATCTCTAATTCACATTTTCATGTAACATGTGAATTTCCCCAGTGTGGGGTTAATCAAGTCTATGTCTATGTCTAAAACCACAATTTTGTACCAGTGCAGGAGTCAAAGACGGCAGACAGGCAGGTAGTGAAACAAAGGTAACTTTAATCAAACTAAAAGAAGAAGCATCAAAAGGTGCCGCACAAGTGAAAGCTGCATGAATCCAAAAAAGGAAACAACGTGACCAGAGATCAAGTAAAAGAGCCAAAAGTTAAACAGTTAACAGAAAAAAACACCATGAGACAACTTGTCATCTTTACATTTTACCTTCTGTCCATGTTGCACAACTGAGATTTATCTTGTAAATTTATAGGTGCTCTGATTTGTTGCTTAAGTTCTGTTTTTTTGACATGAGCCTATTTCCATTCTTTATGCTTAGCTCAGCTAAATGTCTCCTGGCTCACATTAAGTGTGCATTTATCAAACCCATGTCATATCGGTCTTCACATTTACTTCTCAGCAAGAAAACACTGGAAGACTTTTGTCACCCTCTTCCCTTATTGTGCCTCTAACAGTGGTGATGTGTAAGGTAAATACAAGGAGGCTTCAAAGGCTAATTCTTGGTGCTTATTCATGAAAACTGGTGATACTCAGCTTGTATCTTCCCCACAGACTCCTCCTTTTGTAAGGGTCAGAGTGCTGCCTCTGATTAAAAAGCCTCCATACATTAACATCCATAATTTATAAGAGTTTAATGGGAGCAATAAATGCCATCCTCACCTGCCTTGCATGTGACATTGACGGACATATTGCTACAGCAAAGCAGTCTGGAGTGTCGGCAGCGTTGTTCGTCCAATCGCCTGCAGAAAGCGCAGTAAACGGTGACGGCTGGTGACCTTGCTGCTGAGTTCACTAATCTAATGTTTCCCTCAGCCCATTTGGATCTCCACGAGCCAAATGGAGGGGTGGAGGTAATTTCATTTCTGCTTTAGGAGCTGGAGCAGATGGCTCATTCTAAGAATGTGGTTTATGATCTCAGGGGATACATAACAAAGGTGTGTACATGCATATGTCGTATGAGGTATATATGTGCATAATCGTGCAATTTATTTATCTCATGAATTCATATCATGTTTGAACTGTTCATATAGGCTTTGTGAAATTAATGATCTTCAAATTAATGCCAGTGGATTTGAATGGGCCCATAATGTACATTAATCCCAATATCTCAGTTTATTTCATTATAACATTTAACTTTTTCATTGCATCTCAATTTATTAAGAAAGGGTGTCTCTTTTCTGCTTTTCTCCGTCGCAGGGAATTACTACGGCACACCTCGGCCCGTTCACGTTAGTGCAGAGAGCCCCCCCATCACCTACCAGGAACACCGCAACCTGCTCAGAAACTTCCGCACACGCAGCAAATCGCTCAGCAACTTGGAAAAGGCTGCACCAGAAGGCATACACAACGAGGGAGACTCGGGCAAGTGTCGCTGAGCTAAACTATGGCCGGTGCCATTCGTCTGCATCTAAGTAATCATAAATGAAGCATTGAAGTTATCAGTTATATTGAGTTATTTATATAGCATATCAGCAGTGGGAAAATGTATCTTCTCAGAACTGCAAAGTATTCAGCAGCTTAATACTGCGTCGTCTCTCTATCAATAGCTCCAGTCTCCAATGCCCAAATTAATCAATCATTAGCATGATTAGTATGCTCTAAAATCTCAGTTGGGCTGTGGCCTCATCGATTGCTGGATCACCTCCAAGGGAAGGTCAAGCTGCCTTGGGTCAAGCAGGCAAAGAGAGAAGCAGACAAGTGTGCACACACAGAGGTGAGGGACGAAAACTAGCAAATCATGCGACAAGAAAGCAGCATTGTTCGACTCGAGTCATTGGGCTCCCCAAACATACGGTCATTGTAGGTTTTTGTGGCAGTTGTGACCAAAATACTATCTCGTTTAAAGAGAAGGCTTAAAAGGCTCATTAATCACCAGTGAGAGAAAAGACTAATGAAAAGAGCTTACTTTCAAAAACATATTTAAATAAAAGCATCATCAGCGAAATGCACTTAAATGATCAAAGTAGAAGCAGCTTGTTACTAATAATGCTTCGACTTGTGAGGTACTCCTTTTTTTTTTTTTTGAGTCCTAGTGCAGATATCCTTTGCCTGGGACTCAGTGTGGGTATTAGATCATAAAAATACAAGAATATTTATTCAGTTGTTATGAAGATGCCTCCAAATTTGTAGTGGTTAACACATTCGCTTGGAAAATAAAAGGGCACTGGTTCGAGTCCAGATGGGGACGCAAATTCTCTTTGGTTTTCTGCCAAATCAAAAACATCTGGAGCTACCTGCTGTGGCGACCCCTTGTGGCGAGAGAACATTTGGAAGTAGTTCTCATTCAGACCATGGGTGATTTTTCATATGGACCTACATTTACTGAGCCAACCTGGGAGGCACGAAGAGCCCGAACACTCAGAGGTTTCTGTGCTCTATTATATATTCCAGAGAGGCTAGAATAGCTTCCAAAAAAGTCCAGGAATAATGAGAAATAAATGTAAATGACCATAAAGACACACAGTGACCATAAGAGATGCAAAATAACCACAAGTTGAAACAAAAATGTGCAAAAGCTTTGCAAGATACAGCGATCAAGACAGGAAATGATCACATATACAGATATTTTTGTGCTTTCATGATTAAAAGGAAATGACAAAGGCCTCCAGCCATACACCTTCAAATGATAACAAGCTACAAAGAGTAAAAAATATAAATTATAAACAATATTACCCTTTGAATTGTGGTGAATAAGCGTGAGTGAAATACAAATACTGCAAAATTATATACTTGAATAGACTGCAGGCACAAAGAAGTGAAGGCAACATGAAACTAGTACACAGGAGCTGAACAGAAGGTGCGTGTAAGATTAAATATTAGAGAAAGGGAGCACGGCAGCAGCGTAGGGGGTGGAGGTGGCAGGTAGGGTGGCTGACTGTTAAGAAGGGTGAAGGCAGGGAGCCAGAATGGGACAGAAGATAAGAGAGAGGCAGGCAGTGTGGGAGGTGAGAAAATCAGGCAGACAGCTATCCAGAAACGTGCTCCAAGCAGTCAGGTATTGCAGCAGGCAGTCCGGACCGGTGCAGGATGCAGGCAGGTTGGAGTTTGAGAGAGCCGTCCAACACCCTGACCTCTGCTGAGTCATCTTTTGAAGTGACGATGCGTGGGTGGATGGGTCCAGCATCACTTGTCGCGTGCAGCAGGACTCCCAGTGTTAGGGCTGACGTCTCTTAAATCCATGCTGGAGCTCAGAACTGAAGGACAGTTACAAGGACAGCTAGGAAAGAAAATATGCTTATTTTTCATCTACTGCTAGTGTGGCATGCATAGTCACATATTCTTCCTCCTTAGAGAAAGGACAAAGACAGCTGAGATGCTGACCTCAGGTCTTTTTGCCTGACAGCCCCCAGTGGAAATGCCAGAATAAGGTCATTACAGCTTGCAGGAGAAACTTTTTACCTGCCACATCTGTTCAATAATATATCAGTGTTAAGTATTTCTTCTCTGCCATAAAAAAAAAAATCCTGCATGTGCACGTGACAATAAAAGTGATTCTGACTGTAATTACAGGAGGCTCTGCGGGTGTTAGCAGCAGCATCCCTCTTGGTCACCGGTCTCCCGGTCGCACACGAGCATCCAGTAGCGGAGGCGATGGTCACGTCATAGAAAACGGCATCATCAGCAGCAGGAGTGGTGCCAGAGTGAGAGGCGTGATGCCCGATCACTGGGAGCAGGCCTTCAGTGACCCAGGAGAGTCAGTTTACATAGAGTAAGTGTTGCCATAAATCTATTAAATGAATAGTCCAACATTTCAGGGAACAGGCTTATTCACGTTCTGAGATTTAACTTCTATTCACATGGGATTATTATTCAAAGGGGATCTTGTGATTTAGAAATTACCCGCCCCCCACGTCTGTATTTTGTGCAGCACGTTCGCACAGGATCAGTGAAGTCTGTGTTTTACTTGAATTTACTGACATCTGTGGTCAGCAGCTACAGGACTAAGATTAATAATAATAGGCTGCCACATAATAACAGCCAAGTCTGTTGAAAGACAGCAAAATGTTAATTACCGATTCCTGTCATTGCAGTTATCCATCTCATCATCATCCTTGTTCTTCTGCAAGAGGATATAAAATTTCTATCGGTCTTTATGCTGTATAGTGACACTAACCCTCCTTAATTTGTAACAGTCACAACTCTGACAGCAGAGATGCACAAGCAAGGTGTGGAGAACAGAAAAGTCTTTCCAAATAGGCAGAAGTTAAAGATAATTTCATACAAATAAAATATAAATAACACCACAGCACCTCTGGGATTAACCATAAAAAGGTTATCTGTGGTACAAATATTAACTTTTCAAATTATGGATCCTGTAGATTTGTATGAGATTTTGATCTCAGACTTCTTGAGCAATTATTACAAATGACTAGAGGTCTTCAGATAATAAGTCCTGTGTGAATAAGGCTTTAGACAAGAAGATCAATAACACCATCCTATCTGCCAGCTTATTATGAAGCTAAAGCCAGGAAATACAGAACAACAGCAAGGCTGGCTTCTTTTTTTAAACCCCAGCAATAGCTGGGTTGCATGCACTTACCAGCTTAACATGGCCGAACCCCACCCATCTACTCCTAATCCGAACCTAATCACTGACGTAGAAATATTTAATTAATTCAACATGTACGTTATTTTTATTAATGAGATTTACTGTTTTCAGGCATTTTTAGTCAAAGCCTGACTGGCTGTATTTCCTTGCTGGTCTTCTCTATGATAATTCTTTTGATTCTTGGACTCTGTTACAGTGGCTTTTGCACAATTCCTAATTCAGATCAATCAAGTCATTCTCTATTCGATTATTGATTGGCTGCCCCTCGTAAAAAGATCTGAACAATAGGAGGTCAAGGCTTCCATATTCACAGCAAAAATGCTGCACCTGAGATAACAATAGAAAAGATATCTACTCTTATAAATAGACTAAAGTTTTTTAAAATAAATATATTAAGCATATTTTTAATATATGCATATTAAAAATATGCATTTAAAAAAGTGAGAAACCTGAGTCTGTCTGTCTATCATTTTCATTTCATTCTAAAAAGTGAATATGTGATTTTCTCAATTTGCTCAATGCCTCCTTTTAGCAAGCTGGAAAAAGATGGCAGAGAAAGTTGCATTGTTTGCAGAGGCAGGCGTTTCTATTGTTCAACAAAAGTGTAATAAATTCCAGCACTGTCATATTGTATCCAATGCTGTTATGTTTCTAAAGAGGGTGGCTTTCATTTCTTTTCCAACTTTGTCTCTCCAAGACGCAACCCAAAGAGGACCAGCTGGCAGAGTCATCGAGCCTCAAGCAGGGAAAACCTCTACAAAAACGACTGTGAGCGTCTTTCGTTTGCATTCGTCTCTTTCTCTCTACGTTTCACTCAAATTCCGTGTATTTATTAAAACACTGGCAAGCGATTTAACTGTTGAACAGTCTAAATGAAGCTATATATTTGTCAAAAAGGGAAGAAACAGACACAGCCAGCTTGTTAGAGCCAAATGAGATGGAATGAGCTTTTAGCTGAACTGAGACGTGTAAGTGATTAAGGCCTAAAGCTCAGAGCTGCTGGCGAAGAGCCAGACTCGCTGCTGGGACTGGCAGGGTTGACACGTGTATGACATGTGACTGGCAACTTGATTTCATGATTTGGCCACATCATTTGTTGTTTAGAGGCGTAATCTAGTTGCAGATGGCTGTTTGTCATGATTGGAAACGCTCTGTTGCCACACTGTGACTCGACAAAGTGCAGTACACTTTTCTCACCAGCAGAAGGTGATATAATATTCATTATGATCAGAGGTACCTGATAGGATTTCTGCACAATCTGGTACAAACATTTACATGTTTACAGCTGGAAATGATTTCTGCTTCTGTCTCCACAATTAGGGCAGGATTGAATTAAGAACAAACATGAAAGGAAAGGCGCAGTCTGTAATAGCACAGATTTCTTGATGCAACAGTAAATAGTAAATAAAGACCTGGATTACTGTAGAGAGCTGGGTCGACCTAATGGATTATGTTTCCATTTTAAGGTGGTCGTCTGTAATGGATTCTGCTTTTAATGCAATCGTCCAACCATATGCTTTGGTTTGTGTAGCATTTTGTTAAAAGCCCATCTGCTGATTGGTTTGCAGTGTTACAGCTCTCTCTCTTTTGCCTTATTCGTAAGACCTGTCAGTTCTAAGCACTGAATTGTATGTAAACATGCAGGACGGTGTTCAGTCTCTTCTATGATTCCACCCTGTTGGCATATTTTTTAATTTCTTTCCTTAAGGACTATTATGACTTTTTCTTGGAGGTAAGCATCGTTATTAACCCATCCTCTCTTTTCCGCCTTTATCCCTAACTCGCAGGGTTCACGGACGAGCCTGGGGACCTCAGGGGTTTCCCTGTGCACACACACTTGATCAAAGGCCCCAGAGGGTTTGGTTTCAATATTGTGGGGGGAAGCAGGCCGAGAGAGTTTCTGCAGGTGTACAGTGTGACAGAAAGTGGACCCTCCACTCTTAAGACAGGTAAAAGATTATACGTATCATGGTCATGACTGCTACAGTTTTGCAGTTGGTAGTGTGTAAGTGTCTTTTTCTTATTTTTGTTCTTTCTGTCAGAATTTCTGTGGGTTTCACTATAAAATATTCCACAGAAAGTGAGTGATCAGTTCTTAATCTTCAGGGCTAGCACACTCTAATCTGGCCGTCATGCATAAACACCACTGCACATGCTGGTTGCAGACACACTCATGCAAATGCACTAGGCATGGTATTTGCACTCTAGAAAGCCGGGGCACAGGCTGTCTCTGCAGGGACTGATCTAGTTCATATCTGTTAATAGGCTGGTTTAGGAGGATTATGTGGTCGGATTAGTCTACACACATACAAAATACACAGTGTGTATTCCATTTACAAACGCTCCACACTTAAGCATATGAAACTAGTAAGAAGGGTTAACCCTTACATACTGCTCGGGTCACATTTGACCCATTCTGACATTTTTCAGCTGCAAAAATAACCTAAATTTTGCTTAGTTAGACTGCAATATGAATATTTTTATACTGTTGTACGGGTGATACAAATTTTTGTACACTGTGGTTGTTTGGTGTCACATTTAACCCATAACTACTGATAAAGATTTTTAGATTTAAAGATTTTTAGGTCCAGCAGTGTCGGTCAAATCAAGTAAAATGGTGGTTTGAGGGAATCGTGACAGACATGTCATGTCTGTGTGTATTTTTCACGGGACAGTGGTGACAGAGTTCATCAGCACACTGTCATGAGAACTGCCTGTGTTCACATGCATTCACCCAGCGTCCCGCAGGGACACAAAACCGCTGGTCCTTGCAGGGTCATGGGAGAATCTCAAAAGAGTGTAATAGTAAAACAGTGTAGATATGATCATATGGTCCGCATAAGGAACAGAGGTCATACAGAGGTCAGAAGGTGCCTTGAGAGATGGTGCCTTGACACAGACACGGGATGTGAAACAGTGTGGTTGTAGTGGGATGAGCCGCACTGTTGCCTCACATCAAGATGGTTCATGGTTTAATTCTGTGCAGTTTGCATGTTTAATCCACTCCAGAGTACTTGCAGTGGGTTTTCTCCACACATTTTGAGTTAACTGGTGATTGAAGTGCATAGAAAACAGTTATTGTGTGACTTGTAGTTCAAAGGGCTTTGAGGAGTCAGTAAAACTAGAAAAGTGCTAAATAAATATGAGTACATTAGCTATGTGTGTTTGTGCTTTGCATCTGCAAGCACAAACACACACAATTTCAGAAAACAATGCAACAATCAACAAATTATAATCTGTTAATTTTAAATTATTTGAGATTAAAACAGATCAAAAGAGTGCTTTGAACGCACAGACTAGTTGATAAGAAGCAATTTTCTAATTAATATTGAATTAACATTTGGATAGTAGTTTGGTAGATGGATTTTTCAAAAAATATAACAGAAGTGAGAACAGTTTAACAGAAAGAATCTGTTGTTAAGTTAAGAAATTTGTGATAATTATTTTTGTATCCCTGTCCTTTTGTTTGTGGCTTATTAGCGGACATCCTGGTGTACATCAATGACGTCTGTGTGTTGGGAATGTCTCACAAAGAGGTTGTAGAGATGCTCAAGGTGGTGTCTGTAGGCCACAGCGTGGATGTAGAAGTTAGACGAGGGTATCCAATGCTCTACAACCCGGATGGTTATCCAAAGCACTCGAGGTTACTGGACAGCGTGGACCCCATCCTACCACCCACCACCACCCAACCTCAATCTCTTCACCAACTACCTCGCCTACCAGCACCCTCACCCCACACGCAGCACTTTAATGGGGTTCACGGTGATGGGAGGTACATGGAGCCTGGCGTGACTCTGGACACAAATGGAAATGCCATGTCTGTCACCTCCAGACACCTGCCCCCTTACAGACGCTCCAGTGTGAGCAATGCCGTCTCTTCGTCCCCTGTTCACCCACCTCGCTCCCACAGAAGTTTAGCCAGGCTGCAGTCACTCGACCCAACAATGGCAAGCCAAAGTGACAGTGAAGTTGTTTCTGCGATTGGTTCACACAGGTAATAACTTAAATGCAAAAATAAATGCATACCTAGAGACATTAAATGATTAATTCTCTTTTAATTTGTGTAATTTGAGTATAATTTGATCTATCTATGAGCTCATTGGGGAAGTCCTTCCAGTTTTTCTTGTAGCCCCTTGGGAAATTTAACTGTCCACCGCTGTGTGGGCGTAGCTAGCTCAGCAAGTTCACCATCAGTCTGGAGTCAAGGTGCCAACCATAAATCAAATTTTCCCCTTTATGATTCATGGAGTACAGTTTTATGGGTTATCTTGACATATACGCCTTCAGGCCACTTTATTAGATACACATGTTCAACTGGCCATTATCTGATCAGCAAATAAGTGCATTTAGGCATATAGACATGGCCAAGAATACCTGTTTAAACTGACACCGTGATTCAGAATGGAAAGGTGATTTAAGTGACTTTGAACATGGCATGGCTATTTATGCCAGACGGGCTTGTCTGAGTATTTCAGAAACTGCTAATCTACACACAACCATCGGTTGGGGTTACAGAGAATACTCTGAGAAACAAAAAAGAAAGGAAAATATCCGTTGTCCCAGTAGTTCTCTGGGAGAAAATGCCTTGTTGACTTGAGAGGAGAATGGCCACACTGCAACAGTAACTCAAATAACCAATTATTACAATCAAAGTATGCAGAAGAGCATCTCTGAACCCACAGTATGTCAAACCTTGAAATAGATGACAACCACATGGGGTTCCTAACAGCTAAAAACAGGATACTGAGGCTATAATTAGCCTCAGTGCAACAAAATTTTCAGTGATCAGTCAGGTAATCATCTTGCCAGTCGAAAAAAGGAAGCATTTTAGATTAAGCTTCACTACGGTTTACTGGGTTGTTAATCTATCTGCCATGTTGTGATGAGCGAAAATTGGATTTCAGAGATGGACATTATTTCTAAAAGCTAAATGGCAGATACTGCATCCCTACATGTTTTAGTATGATACTGTCTCTGAACACAGAGGCATTTAGTATTGATTTTAACTCTCCTTTCTCTTCTTCATCAGGGCATCAATGATCCGTAATCACAACAATAACTCACTCGCGACACCTCGTCATCCTTTACTTTATGGAACATCCAAGTCGTCTGAGAGTGACCTGTCCACCCTGTCGGGGTCCCGGCTACCCCTGCCTCAGTCCCCAGGAAGGCCCTCCTCTTCTCCCGGTGGTCCCCGCAGCACTCATCCCCACCTATTCAGACCACAGACCTCCCATCTCAGACCTCCAACCCCAGACAGCCCGCAACACCGTGGCTTTAATGGTTTCCAGGGCAACACCAGCCCCACTGCAAGTCCCAGCAGCATGTCCTCACCTGGGGCAATGAGTGTAGGCAGTGGACTTGGAGCTTTCAGTGGAGGGGAGCTGGTGCCAGTGGCCTTGGGCCAGACTGAAGGAGACAGAGGCCTGGGCTTCAGCATGACGGCTGGCGGTCCAGGAGGCACTATTGCTTTAGTAAATCGAGTTTGGGACAGGAAGCAGTGCAACTCCCTGCAGCCAGGGGACGCTGTTGTCAAAATCAACGGAGCTGACGTCCAGAGCCTTAGCTTTACACAGGTAAAGGAGAAAAAGTGGAAAGAAAACCAGGGAGATGAAACATAAACCGATGAAGATAATACAGTGCGTAAAAACAGTGGTTTCCAACATTTTAGCTTATTTTTTCCCTCACACCCCCTAAGTTTGAATCATCAGAAATGACTTTGCATGATTAAAAATTTTGAAACAATTTCAGAACTTAATAGTTTTAATATTTGTTCTCAGGTACAAACAATTATCCAGGAGCACGCCAAACGGGGAGAAGTCATCTTACTGGTTTACAGAGGAGGTAAATAATTCACAATCATTTGATATTCAGTGATTTTTTTTAATAAGGTTGAGCTCTCCTGCAACCCTGACTTGCATAAGAACTAGAACCAAAAAACTGCTTTGCCAGCTTAGTAATGTGCATACATTACTAAGAATAAAAGTAGAAAAAAAGATGGGAACTTTTTAAAGTTCCACCTTTGCAACTGACCAACCAATTAAAATGTTTGTTGGTTTTGTGGAATTCAGATTGAGCAGCTGTTGTTCTGATGTTTACTTTGCAATCTGCTCCATCAGCGGTTCTCAGCCTCTCCCTCCTGACATTCCTCTGTAGCTCTGTCAGGTCTCAAGAACGTTCATTTTTACCACCTGGCATGTTCAAAAGTTTTACTTTAACTCACCATTTATAATTTATAGTAATAAGACAGTTGTCTTATAACTATAAATTCCACTTGTCCTGTTAATATCTGCTTTAACCATTTTTACTGCTTACCCAAATTTTCTGTTCAGACCTGCAGGTAGACTCGGTTCTTTAGATTAGATCATTTCCCCACATTAGTTGTTTCATTCTTTTTTAATACCCCTGCATACTGTTGAAATGAAATAACTCAACTGTACCAGTGGAATAGTTGGGAATAATTGCCTCTCTACTGGCAAATTAGCTGCCTATTTGATAACAGACATGATTAACATGAATGACACGGTCATTTGTCAGGAACAAGCTTATTTTGAAGTCATACTGACGAGGAAATTATTTGGTGATTAATGTGTAGATTTTCCTTTATTCCTTAAAATGCCTACTCAGCAGCGATGCTACTCTGTAACATTTGCTGCATCACATTGAGCATAACGGTGGTGTTTCAGTGCACTTTGCTGGACAAACTATCCTCTAGGGCTATTTAAATTTTTTAAAAAGCCCCTTTTTTGTTATATGTGGTGTCTCCAGTAATTAATAAAATAAGAAGCTCTACTTTTTAGTGAATCGTTAACAAAATGTATTCTCTTTGTTTTTATTTGTTTCGGTTTTATTCTCTCACTCTCCTTATCAGGAGTCTATCATTCAGCTGTCTCCCCTGGAACTATCCGGAGACTCCCTCCACCTCTGCTCCGTCCCCCTCCTCCACCTGACAATTCCTCTGTGCTCCCAGAAGCACTGCAAGTGCCCCGGACCTCTGTCGGCACACCTCCCTCTCCAGCACGTTCCTCGCTAATCCAGAGCACGAGTTTCTTGGAGTCCATTCCAGTAACCCTCACTATGGAGCCCAAAGACTGGATTAACACGGGCCTGGAGGATGAAGCTGCCGGCGTTCCAGTGCTGGAGAAGCAGGGCGGTGAACGAACTCGGCGGCATCGAGGAATTGAAGTGGAGCTGAGGAGAAAGCCAGGAGAAGGCTTTGGCTTTGTGATTGCCTCACAGGACGTGGAGAATGGGAAAGGTAAGATTCAACTTGTGACGTATCATGACACTTTCATCAGGTTAAATCTTTTAGAGATAGTAAAGCTTTTAACTTGTTTTGATGAGCGACACAGTATTTTTTTTAATCCAAAGAAACAGAATTGGATGGACATTATGCAACATTAGTTGAACTTTTCTGGCTGGGTAAAGCGATTTGGTGAGATGCCCACTAAAACGGGTCTCATTTGGACGCCCTTGTGGACAGAAAGACCATTAGGTAATTACAGATTAAAAAGTGGTCACCGTGGCCACATGCCACTGGATGAGTCATGATGCACAATGAACCTTTCTCTTTTAAAGGCTTCCAGGTTGGTTTTATTTGGGTTGTAAAGAAAACTGGTTTTGACCTCCTCTATTTTCAAGTGACTGCTTCATCATGAAGTGCACTTTTGGCTTGGAAGCAGGAAGTTGCTTACCATTTGTCAGGTGCACAGCTGTGCTTTAGATTCATTCACTCATTTGGGTTTGTTTTTTTAAATGTTTAAATGTTTATCTAGGGTTCTGGGCTAGCAACTCATTATTCCCGTTGCAGGACCACCCTAAGGCATAGCCTAATTTATCCTTTCTTTCATACTATTTGACAAAATGAACTCAATATTTTTATTTTTTTATTTTGTGAGAGTTGAAACAAGTAATTGAAACATTTAAGATTATATACAATCTACTATCCCATCTCACACTGGACTCCTTGGACAGATTGTTTCTTGCACTTTCTTGGACTGTGGGATGAATTTACCAGAGAAGGAATCACATTCCTTTTCTTTATTGGAAAATGCATGTCCTGTTTATTTATTTATTTAAATTGGAAACTATCTTGTATAGATTTGTAGGCATAAACCCCCTCAGCCAGTCAACAAAAATTTTAAAAATATAGACAACCATACAGCTAACTCACAAAAGCCTGTTGTACAGGCCTGAACATGACCACTGTGTGGTAATAAACAGCAAGGAAGGTGATAAGTGGACAGCATCAGCATACTAGTCAAGTTTCTTTTAAGTGTACTTTATTTCTGGCATCTCCATTCTACCACAACACAACCATCCTGGTAGGCAAAAATCCCACTTGCTGTATACAGGACTTTACACACACCCGAACCTCATTAGTCTCTACCATTGAGAAAAAAATAGGTCAGACCAAACAATACGAGTCTAAACAAAGAACAGGAATAAGATTACGCATGAAACTGACAAACTCATTTACTCTGCTAAATGGTTTGAAAAGTAAAACACTGCATACAGTACAACTCAAAAGGCTACTTTAAAGAAAATAAACAATGCTATACAAAATGAAAAACCCTTCACTTGGTTACACCCAGTGATCCAATCAATGACCTCGTGACCCTATATAAACAGGAAGTACTGGAGCGGCCCTTCCCACACACCTGGTTTAAATATAGGACCTGAATAAATGGACAAACATGGTAAGTATAACCAAAGCAACATAAAAAAACATCATTTACCAGACATTTGCCTGTGAACAGGAGAAAATTCAAATGACCTGATGGTTAATAGTATTTGCTTTAAAAAACATGGATGCATGCATGGATGTGATGGATGTAACTACTGCTACCACAAACAAACCCGGGATAGTATGTTAAGCAAAGTTACGCTAGCAATGTCTAAATTAAAGCAGTATGGTTGACTGTAAAATAACAAGGAATAAATGATCAATGTGGTTAAGGGACAAGTGGTAAATGAGTTCATGCCTGACCACTTTGTCACAGGGAAATGTAATTTTAGAAAAGAAATGGTCGTGTAGTTTACATAATGTCATACAGCAAGGCAAGCGAGTGAAACAGGTTGCACAGAAAAATGTAATAATTTCATGTCCACTTTGAGGACAAACTATACTTTTACAAAACAGAGATTGCATTCTTGCAGATGAAATTGTTTAAGTTGTTAAGCTGGCATATCACAGCTAGAGCTGCATGGGCCAAAATTAATTGAGTCTAACCTGGTTTGCCAGCCACAGATTTTTTTCTACAGGCCTCGAGTTTGACACATGTGCTGTTAGCTGACCGTGCAAACCACCAGCATACAGTGCATTTTGTATTGTTAATGGATCGTATCCTTTTATCCTCTAAAAAATACTGTAAGTTCAAACTGCTTGAACTGCTTTGCTAAAAGATCACAAAGTTTATGTGGCAGCCCCATCTTTCATTCATTTCCAAAAATGATTTAAGAATAGATTTTTTTTTTTTTTTAATTTTTACGTCTGCAATCTTTTGAATTGAATATTCAAGCTTGAATTAAGAAAAGTAGTCTCGTATCTTTGATCTTACGGGACAATGCTGCATCGTTTCAGTTCTGTCTGGGAAGTGAACACATCCTGCCCCTTATTAGCTTTTAGTGTATTGCTTATGAATAGCAGGTTAGCCGCAGCATCCCAGTGATGTATTACCCTCTCACCTTTACATGTCTTGCATTAGCTGCTCTGTTCCACTTTGATGCAGTTCAATTTGCTTTATGGCCCAAGCGAGCACACATTTGTGTTTTCATGGTGAGATTAAGGTTGTAGGTGCACCTGTCCCTGCAGTACAAAGTCTGTCCACTCTTGTAAGCCTCCATCTCCATCATGTCCTCATTCTCCCCTTCATTTCACCCCTGTCATGCCACTCCTGTCTCTCTTTTCCTCTTTTTTTTTTTCTTAATAATTTTCTATTCCCATCTCTGGCTTTCTCTTCCTCTCTCACTCTCACTCATAAGCTCCTGCCCACTCTCCCTCTCTCTCTCACACCCCTTTTGCTCTGCAGTAAAAGCGTCCAGTCGGGTTTTTCAAAAGATTAAAACTCTCTCTCCGTCTCTCTGTATCTATCGCTCCGTACCTCCCGCTCTCTCCATCACTCTACAAATGCTACACTGAATGTTTCCCTCGCCGAGGAGCAACAGAAGCGACAGCAAACCTGTGTTTTCGCTCCTGTCGACCGCTGCATGTGAATCTGCTTGACACAGATTTTTTTTTCTTTTATCCTTTTGTTTGTTTTCCTGTGCATGCGAATCAGAGAGCCATGCTGGAGAGACTACAGTCTGCTTTGAGAACTGTGAAGGAGTCCAAACGTAATTATTTGCTCCACTTCTTCTTGTGTGTTTGGCAGAAATGAGGTTGGTCTTGGTTTGGTGCAGTGTTTCACATTCAGCTTTGTAGGTGAGGTAGTAGTGTTAAATACTGCATTCTGTTCTCTAAAGTTTGCTCAGCCAGATGTGTTGACGGTGTGAAAGTTCGAACCACATGCTCACACGTTCGAGGTGTCAGATGCTTGATCAAAAGGATGCTGCAAAAGATGCGTTGTATGGTTGATTTTGCAGTTATGATGATGCAGCCTTTGTGATTGAAGCAACAGCTGATGAAAGGAAATCTTGTTGTTATTTTAAGCCCAGTCAGGTGTAAAACGGCACAAGACATAATGAGCATTTGTGGGAAAAGGCGATTAGTCCCAGCTCTAATGGTAGTTCGATTGTAGCGGTGATGTTCAGCATTAACTAAATGGCAGAGACACTACCATGTGAGTGATCCTGCTGAAAACCAGCACTCCTCTCTCCCCCCCGGTGTACAACATGTAGTATACATCCGCAGGCTGCTGTAGCGATGTCCACGCTCGCCGCCTCATCTGGGGTCCAGAGAGGGTTTTTTACGGAAGAGGGGGGCTGCTCGACTCCTGAGCGGTAATCAGTGCAGCACGTCAGAGGTTGGCTGGCTGCTGGGCATACCGCAGTGGGATTACTGTGGACAGGAGAACATGGAGAGCCAGAGGAAAAGACACTACGATATAATGCAGTCCGTTCAGATGCATGTGTGTGTAGCTTGTGTGTCTGTTTGTGCATTTGTGGCTGAGTGCATCTGTCCTCATCTTTTTGCATGTGAGTCACTGTGTGTCTGTGTGTGTGTGTGAGATTCTTAACATGTGTCTGTGCATTTCTACAATGCTGCCGTGTGCGTGTGAGCATCGCTGTTGCATGTGTATTCATGTGTTTAGCCACTGTTGATGTATTATGCATGATAAGAAGACTATTTGCAAAGCTGCCTTGGCTTTGATTTGACCTGATTGCTGTTTCCGCCTGGGTCACCCAGATTAGGCCCAGATTGGACTCATGTCTCTGGGCTCTGATTTATAGGCTGAACCTTGTAACTGAATCATGATTCCAATGTGACATGCTCCTCATCTCATACGACATACTCCTACCCCCAAGAATACAATTTTAATCTGTTAACGAAGCATTTCATTTTGCTCTTTAAATCACTCTAAACATGCTATTTCGGTACCAGAGGGACATGGGCAGAACTGAGCGTCATGTACCTCAGCTGAATAACAGTTTCAAAATGTTTATGCTGCCTGATGGGTTACATAAGGCCACTGGCAAGACTCTAGAAGGGCCAGCTGCCACTAAAGCTCCGCATTCCCTCAAAGTGGGGTCAGGGAAAGCCTAATAGGGAGTTTATTAAAACACAAAAAGAGAAATAAGAGATAACAGCAGACAGAAACAGCTGTCCAGCTAAAAATATTTAAGCTTTTTAGTTGGTGCAGGAGATTAAAGGAAGCAAATTTATTGTTAGGCTGCTGAATATTTTTCTCATCAGCCTCAGATTCTGACCATTTTAGCTTAATTGCACGTGATCTCTTCATACAGACAATAAGACAAATGGAGTTCATTATACATGAAGCTAACGGTCCGGTCCTCGCCTTCCACAACACACTTGTGTATTATCTGTAACCTCAGTTTCACACTGTGTCTTATAGCTGATGAGGGTGAGAAGAGTCGTTTTCCCACATCGAGGAGAAAAATATTCGATGGTGCTTGCACGAAAAATAAAAGTACTGCTGTGTGTGTTTTCTAAGCCGGTGGCATACTAATGCACACAAGCTACAGTTTGAGGGGGATCTTAGATGTGCTGAGCATAAGAATCACTGGTGCTGGGTAAACAGATATCTAAAGATCTAAAGTTTGTTGTTATGTGCAGTTTGACAGATTTGGGTTGGAAAAAAGTATTGCTGGAAAGATTGCGTTCCATGACAGTTTATTCTTGAGGGGGAAGATGCATTGTTGGACAGCTGAAAAACTGTTTGCGGCGTGTCAGTGGTTAGAGAGGTAGGTTGATAGATGGGAATATGAGGGAGAAGAGGAGAGTGTTTCAAGGAGATAGTGGGGAAAGGAGGGACTAGGTAGGCTCCTTTGAGGAAGTAATTCATAAAATAGCCTGTCAAGAATGATCCGAAGCTAAATTATAGCTTGTTTTAGGATTTCTGGCACATGCGCTGATGAGCTAAAGCTTCCTGTTTTTATAATTATCTACTTATGACTCCACTTATTACTCTCAGCCTTCAGTTAAGAGGAAACTTTTTAGGCCTGATGGAATCTCGTGTTCCAGCCTCATCTACTTTAATGCGCTAATAACTGTTTTATTCTGTCCTATTTCAGCTGCTTCTCTTCTGCCCCACCGGTTTGTGACGGTCCGTCGTGGCAGTCCTGCGGCAAAGAGCGGTCAGATCCGGCCCGGGGATCGTTTAGAGGCTGTAGAGGGACGCTCGGTGGTGACTCTGCCTCATCGGGAGCTCGCTCAGATACTTCGCCGGGCAGGACATACTCTACGTCTTACCATTGTCCCGCGTTCCAGCACCTGTAGGCATTCACATAAGCATCCAAACATACACATATGCCACAGTGCAAAGCTTGGCTCTTATTTCACAATCAGACCTTAATCACTATCATTTGCAGACTCTGCAAACCTTCCGGAAACTGCTGACTATGACTCTGGTCACAGAAACCGAAAGGGACAGAGGTCACATCCAAAGGTGAGGGAAGCACATTCAATCACGTGTACCTAACGGGCACTGAAATTCCTACATCGATTGTGGCTGTTATTAACTGCCAGTGTATAATATTAACCTAAACCTCTTTATCTGTGTGTCCCAGCGGGACTCCAGGTATTACAGTGTGGATCTGGATCGCGGCCCCTCAGGATTCGGCTTCAGCCTCCGAGGAGGAAGTGAGTACAACATGGGCCTCTACGTTCTGGGACTGATGGAAGGAGGGCCTGCATCACGGAGCCAAAAAATGCAGGCGAGTCTGTTTCCTATGTGCATTTCAGCTTGTTTACACAATATATAATGAATGCATTGAAGTTCTTTGAGTTTTGCTTTTATTTTTTTCAGCAAAATCTCCAGAGTTGTGTAGTCGGGGTTGTGGTTTAATAATCCACGCCGAAACACTCTTCCCTGACCTCAAGGTCAAGGAAAAATGTGAAGGGGAATTCACATTTTTCATGTTTTTCCTAAGTGAGAAATTAGTAAAAGACAACCATAGTGCTTAAAGAATCAGTTTTTACTTATAAAAGGCTGCTAAATTAGCCCAAACTGAACATTGTTGATTTGAGTCTCCTATGTTGAAAAAGAGCCACGTTTTTCCTCACCCTTCTCTGTGTCATGTCTGACGCACTACATGGCAAAAGCAGTGTAAACATGTGTATTTTTCTTCCCCTACTCCCCCACAGTTTTGTTGGAGTCTCTGTCCTCATACCGCACATAACGAAAATGGTCTCTGTGGTCTTCTCTGACTACCGTACTAAACAATAAAACACCTTCTTGCACATTTCCATTGATGGCTATGGTATCTTTTTGAAACCTCTGAAAAACATCCAACAAAATGTTCAAATCTAGTCCCTTCCCTTCCTCCAAGGGTGGTGCCAGCTCAACTTTGCCATTCTCTCAAACGCTGAGCAACAACAGGTATCTGTGCTCACAGTCATTTCTCTTTTCTTCACTGTCAAAAGCAATATGCTTCCTGAAAAGAATTACACAGATGTTTGCTAAATCCAATTTGGGGCTATACTGGGTGGCATCAAATACTGAAGAGCTAATAGAAGCCTTTCAGATGCTAAAATCCAACTTGAACTCCCAGCCCTGGGTCCAGAACCACAGAGGCTCAATTAGGCTCTGCTTTGAGCTATTCTCAAACTAGAGGAAACTCTGCAATGCTTCAGCCGGGCTGATTCATGTCAGCATCATTAAGGAAAATTCTCACAGTGCAAAATGCAGAGGCTGGAAACGTTTCAAACAGATGTCAACCACAACTGAGCTCTCGCAAGAAAGTTGTGATTATTCCATCTGTGTAACATGTCTTTAAAGAGTTCAGACATCTCGAGGCGGGAAAGATGTTTAACAAGCAAAGCCTGTTCAAGAAGCAAAATCCTTCGCATTTCATGTATCGTTTGCAGACCTCTCAAGTGAACATACTCTGATCGTCCCACACATCACAATGCCACACTGCTTGTGAGATTCTATTATGACAAAGTATCTCAGTAAGGACATAATACAATGGAGGCAGCAGTCCAAGCAGCTGGATGCTGGGTTTTTGGCAGAAATGTCCTCTGTTATCCGCAAGTCTGTTATTTGTCGCAAGTTACGTGGGAGAAGACTAGAGGATGGCATCAATGTGTTTAAATCCTGGACAATTATTAATGTACATGTTCTCCGAGAGGTGGGAGTGCTGACAGCAAGCATTGGACAGTACTCGTTACCTGGATGTCAACCAGAGCTGTGCACATCGAGCTGATTGAATTAATCAGCTCAGCGGTCATCAAAACGCCGTCACGCAACGACCACCATTTTTGCAAAGTGAAGGTGAAGATTATAAAGGAAAGAACTTTCAGGTTATTTTTTTATTTAATTGTAGGACAGAATTATCTGTTTTTCTTTCAGAAAGGATGATCCAGTGTATCCTGTGCTAGAAGATGAAATAAATTAAGCAACTTTGCTTTGCTAGTACAGCAGCCATTCCCAAGTAAACACTGCAAAGACTGTGGCCAATTTCCAGATCTGCAAACCTGTAATCAAACCTGTAATAACACAAGCCTGCGATGAAAGATTTTCTCACTCAGTCTTGTTGAGATTTATTCTCCATTGACAGTCAATTTTGTAAACTGTAATTCTGTACATTCGAAAATTGAAAAATGAAGGTTCTTTGTTTGTTTTTAAAATTTTGAGCTACTTATTGTGTTTCCATAGTGTAGTAACTCTCAGATTCGCCTAAAAATGTGAAAAGCTCTCCCGGTTCAAAAGCTCAGGGAGGCTTGTGGTGTAAAATCTGTAAAAGGTAAATATGTGGCAAAACTAAAGAGAGAAGAGAAGCAGCCAAAAGTACCTGCCTGCCTGCCACTCCTATTCATAACAGCCTCACAGATACTTCTAGCCCATATCACTCAGAACCAGTTAAACTATTATTCCTACTACATACTTCTAAATAGAAACCATATAAAACATGTGCGTGTAATCTTTTCTGTTAGCTAAAATGTGTTTGGATGATATTTCCTGAAAAGTCTGAAGGGGAAGCCTTGACATTAAAGTCTATATGACTAAAAGAGTTTGCATGTTCTCCCCATGTCTGGGTGGGTTCTCTCTGGATACTCTGGCTTCTTCCCGCAGTCCAAAGACATGCAGTGTGTACCCCACCTCTCATCCTATGGTAGGTGGGTTAGGCTCCATCCCCCCGGCGACTGTAATGAGGATAAGTGGAAAAGAATGGATGGATGACTTTTAAGTACTTATCAATGGAATTACGAAATTATTATATGAGAAACATTTAAGACATTTAACATTAACATTTAATAGTTGCAAATAAAGGCTAAAAATTTCAGACTCTGGTGATTAAAATGATTGAGCTCCAGTTTGTAAAGCGGTGAAATGATGTGTGTGGCTACAGGTGAGCGATCAGCTTGTGGAGATAAACGGGAACAGTACAGCCGGGATGACCCACAGCCAGGCCGTCGAGCAGATCCGCAGAGGAGGCCACCGCATCCACCTGGTCCTCAAGAGAGGAAATGGCTATGTGCCTGATTATGGTAAGGCAGCGTGGGAACATTTTAATTTTAAGAGTGGCAATACATGATAGCAAAAGAGAAATTTGAGAGTGAAACATGGGCAACCTCATAGCTTTTGCATGTTATATGTCTGCTATGGGTGTGTTTCCTGTTTTTCTATGGGACTGATTCTAACTAAAATGCTCTCTACTTTTTTAACATTTTCTCTTCTGGTGTTTCCCACCTTGTAACCCATCACATCTGTGTTTCATTTGACCTTGTTTGCTTTTAACACTCCCACACCACATTTCTCATTTGTCTGTGTTGGTTTTTCTTCCAAACACTGCTCTTCTTTCTGCTCCACTCCTTTGTTTCCTTTCCATCCCCTTTCTCTCTCTTTCTCTCAGTGGAGCTCTCCAGCTTGTCTCTATGCATGACCAACTCCAAGCTAGGCGAGCCTTGCTTCTATGTCATTGGACGGACAGAGAATACGCGGTTGGTAATGGTTCCTGTTAGTTCTCCCATTTTCTGTCTCTCTACATCTCTCTACCAAACCAGCATCGCTGTCTTCATTAAGTAAACGACAGTACTTGGACTTGATTAGCAATTAACATTGTAGCAGAGTACAACATTATGCTTTATGTCTCTCAAACCTATGCTGAAGCAGTAATTGGACAGCTTGTAATCTGTCCATACACTGAACAGTTAAACAAAGAAAATGGCCTGATTGCATAACCATAGTGTGTTGTATTGCTAATGAAAGTTTCACTAAAATAGAAAAGCAGCTGTTATTACACAAGCTGACCTAAGGCACCTTTCTGGATTTCAGAAGTCTTTAATAACAGATTACATAATTCTCTTTACCATAGATGCTGTTATTCCTCTTTAACTGCCTGCTCAGTCTATATCTTTTGTCTCTGCCCACCACCCTAACCCTACACAATGTCTGTCCAGGCCATGAGCACCAAATCACCTCCTCCCCCCTCCTGCATCACCCCAAGAAGCAGGGTTTGGCTGCAGTAAACTCCACCGGACGGAGGGGGCGCAGTTCACAAGAGAAGAGGAGAAGCAGGTCAAGGGGAGGCGAGAGGGATAAAGGGACGGGAAGGAGAAGTAGAAGGAGAAGAAGACATGTCTCAGGTGAAGGACAACGCTTGCGTTTACAAAGCCCCATGTCTGATCAGACAGAGAGGTTGAGGAGAGCCAGGGACAGGAGGAGGAGGAGAGAAAAAGCTTCTCAGAGTTTACCTAGAGATGCCCTAAGGAACTATGATGATAGTGACACGGAAACGAGGGCAGAGAGGGGAAGGAAAAGAGGAAAAGGCAGGAGCAGAGAGAGGAAAAGCAGGAGCGAAGAGAGGGAGAGGATGTTAGAGAAAGAAGAGTTTATGAATCGGGACAAGCTGATGAGGGTGGGAGAAAGGAGGAAGGAGGTGGTGGAAACGTTTGAAAGTGAGAGCGAAGACGGTGACAGGGAAGTCATTTTACCAATTCCAAGTCTTACCCAAAGGCTTCCCAGGCCCAAAGAAATCTGGGAGGAGGAGAGCGATGACGACTGGGGTATGGCAGCAGAGTACAGAGAACTGAGGAAAGAAGAGAAGCCAGAGACTGAGTGGGAGAGGTCCTGGGGTGATGACAGCAGAAAAAGTAAAGACACAGGGCTGAATCGGTATGAAAAAGAGGACAATGATGAACAGAGCAGCAGCGTCAAGCGGCCTTTACGAAGCGTGGGTGTGATTGATCCGGAGTCACAGAGAAAGCCCTTCTCCTTCCTCGCTTCCACACTGTCCATAGATCAGTTGGGGGATGATGAGTCAGACTCTGAAGGCAGCCACTCTGATGGAAGTGTGTCCGCTGCCAGTATCTCAACTCTTTCTTTGGTCACAACACAGCCAGGTCCTTGGTTCATGCCCAGCCAGCAGAGACTGACTCAGGTCATGAAGGAGAACAGGCAGGCGGACAGGGTGTGGGGGAAGAAGAAATGATTTCTCTTGACTTTTAACAGGAAACTGAGCAACCATTGTAACAGATTCTGTCAGATTCACACTGTTAGACCTCTACTTGTTTTCTGCAGCTACCCCCACTACCAACTTCTTTTCTCTGAGTCACTTTGATATTTAAAGTAGTATGAAGTCATATTCTTTGTGCCTTTTTACAGCTGGTCTCTGGCTGTTAATATTTTAACTTGTAAATGACACCAACAAAACAAGATTATCCCTCTCCCAACAGTGTCATTGTCTTTTTTTTCCCTCCCCTTCGGCACTGTTGCCCTACTTAAGTTGCACTTTCGTCTTTTCTCACCTACCAGTGATTCGCACTACATTAGCAGTGTCCTCTCTCAAAGGGACAGTTCACCCTAAAATCAATTTTGGTATTTATTTCCTCCGGTTTGTAGTGCTTTTTGTCCATCTAGATTATTTTAGTGATATCTATTTCTGGTTGGTCTTCTTTTAAATGTGTATATATAGAACTAAATGGCACTTGTGTTTTTGAAAAACTCAGCAGCAGGGTCTCTTTTGAGAAATCGATACCCAGCTACTAAGAAAGAAAATGTTGGTGTAAGCAGTTTTCATGTAGGAAATGTTTTCTTTCTACAGTGCTGCACTAACCAACCATATCACTGTGTAGAAGGAGCGAGCATCTACCTGTAACAAGAAGCTTGTCCATGTGACGGAGTGCAAATGTTAAATTGTATCCCCCTTCACTTGAGTTTTTAGTGTTAGGTAGCTACATTTTTCTTTTGCGTGGTAGATGTAGTTCAGTAGAAGCAAAGTAGTTTCAAGTTCTTGAATAATCAAGCTTAAAAACCTCTTAGTATCGTTTTATTCCAACAAAGCACTACGCTGTTAGATTGCAGGATTACTTGTGGTTCTTCTAAAAGTAGAATGGGAGGCACTTTTTCACTTCTTTCCACCATCACCAGCTGCTTGCTCATAGAGGATCACCAGATTTCTTTCTTAGTATTGTGAGCATCTCAGCTTACAGCGCCTTGAGGCATTTGTTGTTATGGATTCTGGAAACAGACACTGCTGCTGATTTATCAGCATAAATAGCACTGCAGGCCAGAGGAAAAACAATACATTTGATTTTCAGTCAAGCTGTCCCTTTAAGTATCCCCTACTGTTTAAACACAACATAGAAATTCACTTATACCTCATGAAGATATTGAGCAATAATAATGCAATCAGTAATCCATATCCACTGCGCCGCATCTATCTGGCCTGAGAGGAGTCAGTGTTTGTACAGCATCCTCTTTGTGTTGCCTCAACTTGTAATCTTGTTCTATATTTGATTGTGATAATGCAAATCCCTTTTAAAAGCCAACGGTATATTCTGTAAATATCTGTAGACAACAGAAAGCACTGTAAATACTATACTAAATGGAACTGGATTTATATTGAAATATATATTATAATATGTCTAAACATTTGAATATATGCAGTATATATCTAGATATTACAAACAACAGCTAACTATTCATATTATTTATTATTGTGTGATGACAAATAATGTGAGAACTAGCTTTTGTGAAGGCTAAAAATGTAAACAGACTAAGAACTATATTGTAGCCGTCCTATTTATACATGAATGTTTTGTATTATGCTGCTTGGGTGTGGATTAGAATGCTCTGTGTCGTACCCTACTTCAGAAGTCAGCAAAAGATGCCAAAATATGCATCAGGTGCGTGCATATTTCAAGTACTGTTAAATATTGTGTATGTGGGGTCAGTACAAAACCACTATCTAGATTCTAAAGAGTGCTGTGCCCATCGTGCCACGTACAGTTGCCTTGGTAACATAAACCACTTTATCCTAACCACTGATTTTTCTTACTGTGAAAACCTTTGCTCTGAGGTCTCTCATACTAGAAGTGTGTGGGCTGTTTAGTAATTTAAGTCATGCCAAAAAAAGGCCCCACAAAAATATATTAAAAAAAAAAAAATCTGCAGAATCTGAGCTCGGTGTTGCATCTGAGGTGACAAATTAGCACATCGTTTTCTTTTGCTCTCTTTCTTTTTTTTTTTTATATTCTGTTGAAGGGGAAAAAACAGAAGCCAAGTTGAATGGATACTGTGAGATGTTATTTTTCTATGAAATTATCTTTTTTGATATACTCAGGTTTTCTTGATAAGCCATTAGGAGGAAAAGCTACAGTCACTTCACGCCATTTTCGTAAACACACACAATGGATTAATGTTATTTAAATGTTAAAGCAATATTACGTTGGTTCTCTACGGTGGCATTTGGAGACACAGACTGTTACAGCTGTTATTTGTTAGCACTCCATAATCATTTAAAGGTTGATGCCATAAGTGACGTCATTCCTCCATTTGTACCCAGAGGAACAAAGCAGAGAAATAAAAAGCGTGGTGTTCCCTGTCTGTTTGCAGAAAGACATTACAGCAGCCAAACGGACATACTGTATTCTCCATCCAACGGCCATACAGTGTTGCTAGGTAGCCTATATATAAGACCTTTTTATATATATATATAAATGTTTGCCAATATTCTTTTTTTTTTTCATTTCCTAAGTATGGCTGAACTGTAAACACACTAATAAAAGTGCAAATAAACTGCTGAACCAATTTCCTCTGTGGTCATCATGGTGTTCCTTTCATCGGTCCACATAATGGACAGCAGATGGCAGCAAAAACATAGACAGCAGTATATTTATGTGAAGTGGGATTTCACAAGATGAAGGTGTGTGTGTGAATGAGAGAGAAGGGGAAATGCAGCCTGATACTCAGATGCAATATGTAGGTGAGATGTCTGTTAATAAATCAGATGTAAGCTCTTTAACTAGTGGTGAATGAGAGCCACAAAGAGGCTGAAATCTCAGCATTTCCAGCAGATCAATCATTCATCTAGCCTTGCTAGAGCATGCATTTTGCATACAGCCTCACTCCTCAGTGGAGTATTAACTGTACAGTGAGGCAACCTCACCTGTCCAAGCTGCTGTGCAGGGAGAGAAGCGGGTGAATTTACAGAGTCTTAGCGTAGATATGAGCACTTAAGCACTGACACTAAAAATAACAGCGCTCTGAGGCCTGTCTTTCTCTCGTGTTGTCCTAAGCCGCATCCTTCTGTTCAAATCAGCTCAGATGCAAAATGGAAAAAAGAAAAGGAAAAAAACGACAGTAATAACAGCGCTGCTTTCACTTCAGCTGCAGGAGATTGTCTTATAGAAGTGGATTAAATCACGACTTCAAATATAGCAATTTCAATGTTATAACAGGGAGTTATTTGACACGACAGGGGCAATGTTTCACCTGCAATGTGTTGCAGTGCACTGTATTGTTTTCGTACCTGAACACCACGGATTCAGGCGCTCAACAGGGTTCCTGGAATGCGTAAAGCTACAAAGACAGAAAATGAGATTCTCGCAGTATTTTCAATATAAAATGTCTTCTTTGCGCTCCTTTGTTGAAAGCTGCATTCCTAAATTCACTATCTGACAAATGTAATAGGACCTGTGAGATCTGAGGAAAAAATTGAATGCCGTTTTCTTTGTGCTGCACAGTGTGGAGGTATGAATAAAGGTGTCACTTTTGGATGAAATGGGTCGTTAATATGCTGAAATATCCTGGTTTAGAGGTAATTAATTAGCTCTTAAGTTGCGCGCGTTTGTCTCAGAAGACTGTGAAATAATGACCAAGAATGACAGACGTATTATTTACCAGCTAGACTAGTCATTCAGATTCCTGCAGAAAACTATTAACCGACCCAAAGAAAATGTCTTTCTCTATCTACTGCAAAGAAAGAAAACCTTTTTGAAGGCATGTGCATAATAGAAATTTGAAAGCAGCGCTCAATCATTACAGTATAACATGGTGCTGGTCTGTGTGAAGGATGTCAGATTCTCATGTCACCCTCGTAAAATTGCTTTTTACAGTTTGATCGGAAACAAACACGGATGTCATTTTATAGGCCACCGGCAGTGCTCCTCCTCATTTTCCTCAACCAAAGGAGCAGATACTGGTCCTTCTGCTGCGTTAAAGTCCTTCTACGTCCAGCTCTCCTCATAGAATCAGAGAATTCCTGATTATCTCTTCCACAGTCTTGAGACTTAACTTAAGCTCTCCTAAGAGTGATAGCTGAAATCAGTCTTGTCCAGTAATTTAAAGTATTTTTTTGTATTTTTTTTTCTGTATTTATTTATTTCTATATTTATTTTGTATGTATTTTGTGCAACTTTGTTTTGTCTCATTTATACCTAAAATATTGTCTTTGTTTTCTTAGAAGACACAATAAACAGTTTTAATGTGTTTTTGTGGATATTTTGTTGACTCCATTTACATATAGGAGATTTTCACATTCACAGTCAAATCCGTCAGGAGGGACGAAGACAGAGGAATGTGCTGTGACCACCGCAAAATCTTTTCGCTTTTTGGGGGTTTGGCCTCAGCAGTGCACCTTTGGCACTTTCATTACCATTACGGCAGGTGACATATATCCATAATGGATCCATAATATACTTCATAAGTGGACAGTTTGAAATCCATCAAGTTTAACTGACTGTGTGATGCGTTAATTTTTCTTTTATATTTTTTAAGCAAAAGATAAACTTTCAGTTTACACTGTTTGGTAGCTCAACCTTTAATATATTTTTAATCAGTGCTCATTAGTTGTGGAAGTTGTGGAAATATTTAGCCATTGCACCGACTGTGGCATTTGTTTGTTGTGATCTTGTATGAAAATCAGCGCTCTGTAGCTTATACACTCAGGGCACCTTAATTTATTAATTTGCGCCTTTTTTAATAATTCGTGTTTGTTTTTGCCCACAAATCAACTGACTTTCACCCCAAGTCAGTACTTCATTCTCGACAGTTCGTCCTTTATTTTGAAAACCTTGCCCGGAAGTTACTTCCTTATTTTCGCCCGCTTGTCTGTGATGCGCTCCAGAGGAAAAGGCGCACGCAACGCTGCGGTTCAGACGCTCAAGGAGCGAAATCCTCTCTGTTTCTGCGCCACCTCACAGGAGACTCAGCGCTACTCTCCTGCATGGATTACCGACCTGCTGCCACTGAGAGTCAGATAAGTAGGAAAGGACGCTCCCTGTTCTTTTCGACCAATTTCAGATTTTTTTTACGCCAGCGGCAAAAACAAAAGTACAGTTTTAAGATTAGAAACAGTCATTAAGACTTTAGGACCTCAGAATCTTGCGGTTAGGTTTTAGCCTTTAAGAGGTGACAAGTTTTATCTTGAAGATCAGTATTTATGAGT